CTGTCATCTAATTTTAGCAGAATCTTTTGATAATAGAGAATAATTTCATGAAATTCTTTTCACAGATTCATGTATTAATGCAGAGACAGACTACTATCACCACCCAGACTTCTGTAAGATAACAGGCACTCAACTACTTTCTATTTAAGTAAACCTTAAAGGAATGACACATTTAAATTAAGATTTCTCACTGATGAGCATCACATCATAGCCTGTAATGAGTTACCTCACCACTGAGAACATTTCTTACCTATTGCAAATGCATCTGGCTTAAGACTTTAGCCACCCAATTGTGTTATATCATCTCCTTCTACTACATTGTAGATTTTCTGCTCACAATCCACACACAAACATTGCAATCATGTCTCTCCTTGCCTTTTTCTTTGATAAAATATAACATATTGAGCTCTTGAATTTCTCCCTCAGGAGCTATTTGCAGTCCTTATTCTTTCAGAATGCTCCTTGAAGCACAAAGCTGTAAGCTTGACACACTATTCTTGCAGTGGTCTCACTAATGTGAAATGCAAAGATGCTGCAAGTTTCCCACTTGGTCATGCACAGCTGAGATTTTGTCTACCTCTCTTCCAGAGCATTTTTTATAAAACAATTCTTATTTAACTGCAAAAGAGGGGAACAGCTCTGGAAAACAGTGAAAGAAAAAAATAGAATAGAATCCCACCAATTCAATCCCACCACTGATTTTTTCATACTTTTCTTGCTTATTTCTCTTTTCCTATACACATATGGGCAGAAAAAAAAAAGAAATGTTATTAGAGCCAAATTCTTTAGCTTGGTATAAACTAGGGATGCTGAGTTGACCAGTATAGAGAGTTCAGATGAATTTTGCTGCAGGCCAGTCAAAGGCAGCAATCAACATGAGCAGTCAGAGCTCTAATTTTTTAATACTTTTAATATTTTTAAGCATCAATAACACAGAACAGCACATTATTCTTTAGTCATAATTGCTCATCTCTGGCTGCAACAGGCACTCTGCTCTGCTCAGAGAGACAGGACTGCWAGTGCCAATACACAAGAGAAGTGACCAGCAGCCACATGGAGAGGCCAGGGAGCAAGAGGAGGAGGAAGGCAGGTGCCACAGCAGCCAGCTAAAGCTTCGGCTCTGAAGACTGGCACAACGGTAAGCCATACGGTACAGCACGGCTCTCCAAAGCTGTTACTGCAGCAGATCTGCAGCTTGCGACACTCCTAAGAACCAAGAACCTCTTCCCACCAGCTTCGGAAATCCTGGCATTTCCACCCCTTAACTCTCACATTTYAGATAAATATCAGATGAAAATATTCAAACTCTTCAAAACAAACTAGTCTCCCCCCAGCACAGACACAAGTACATGACCCATTAATACTGCCCCAGCTGGCACCACTTTCTACATTCAGCCAAAGTGTTCCATAAACTTGTACTTTAAGGGTGAGAAAAGTTATAAGCTTCTATAAGCACAGAGATTTAAAACAAGGAAGTCTGATTAAACTTAATTAAATATTTTAAGATACAGCTTTGTGTTCCGCTTTTAAAGATGAGCTATAAAACAAGCTCCAGAAGGAGTGCTGCAAGGGATCACACCTTGGGTTAAGGTGATTGTGTTCTAACCGTATGGCAGATTATCCCACAGTTAAAACGCTACGTTGATCCACAACTGAAATTCAGGTAACACTTCAGGCTTCACTTTACYAAACTGCAACTAGAAGCTGTTGATTCCCTTGAACAAGATTTCTTTGGATTAAGATTATATATGCTCTCAAGCAATGCATATACCCATAAACATATATAGCACTGTTTAATATACAGGACTTGCACAGTTTATCTAATGCTTTCCACATGCTAACCACCCAGCAAACCAGAGCTGCCCGCAAACACAAGGAACCCACACCAAATAATAAACAAACCAACAAGATATAGGCAGGTCACGCCAGGATAGGATCTAAACTGCTTTCTACTCCCGTGAATATTTCCCTGGATAAGTCAGCAACAAGGCAGCAAAATCCGAGTCCGACGGATGCCGATATCCCCACGCACGAGGGTTCGAACTCTTTAACCACAACTTTTGGGGCGGTTTGGGGCAGGGGAAAGCCCGGGGGTCCCTGCAGACCCCAGGGGCCTCAGGCCGCTCCCGAGACGCTCCAAGGGGGCTCTTGATTTCAACCTGAGCAGCTGCCAGGGGAGGGAGCCGAGTGTTTTTAACGGCAAAGCGGAAAGTTTTGCTCAACTCCTCGCGCGGACGGYACTCAGCAAGTTTTCGGGACGCTGCGCATCAGTGAAAACTTCCCGGCATGAAAACCAACGTG